GCAAAAAGTTCGTACCAGCTGATCTGTCGTACATTCGGACAAGGCTGCAGTGCCTGCAACCTAAACTGGCAAGGGCGACCCTGCCCCGTGTCTGCACTCGAAGGCCACTGGAGAATGGCCTTCAAGGACAACAATCAAAGTCCTGATACAGTGTGCATACTTCGAGAATTCAGGCCCAACTAGTTAGTACAACGCTTTCTCACGTTTCACACGTCTCACCCTAGTATAGTCGAAACTCTGCCCACATTGGTTGGTGCTTTTTTTGGGTGGTTTTTGGGTTTTGGGTTTGTTGTTGTGTTTGGTCTTCTGTTTTTCGGGGTGCTCCCCTTGCAATATGCAGAGTTTCCATCCTTTCCATGATGACCTGGGCACACCGCCCACACGGCGTCCGTACTCGTGCAAAAAAAAGGCTTTGTTTGGTTCGGGTTTTTGTTGTTTCCCTCACTTGTGGGCTGAGCAACCTTACGCTTCCGCCAGAGATCAGCCTTCTAGGCCCTCTCGCCTGCGATAATTGCAAACTCCTTGTTTTCGTTGACCTCTCTAGCACTCCTATCACTGAAATCCGGGAGTACACTTTCTCCCGCTGCGTGGGCTCCAACACCTATGGCTTCCAAAGACTTTACAGACTGTCCATGTGTAAACCTTCATGGGCTGCGCCATACTTAAAGAAATTGAAGCCCCACCGACGCTTCGCTATATTGCCAACAAAGCCTTCCTTCATTGTACCTGGCTGACAGGTCTCAAGTTGATGCCAGGTAAGCGAACTACGTGGCGAGGACCCTATGCCGAACACTCAGCCTTTGATTTGTGCTCCCGATTTGTCATTCCGAAATTGATCAACCTCCTCCCGAGTACAGGAAACGATCCCAACTAACTAGTGAGACAAACAGGGACGAAATAGCACATGTGTGACGCACGAGATCAGCCTCCCAGCCTGTCCGAAGTGGAGAGAGGTCCTCATTACTCTACGGCCAGACGGAAGATGCAAGAATCTAGGTAGCAAGCCCCAGTGATCGACTCTCAGGCGAGCACCTTAGTTCTTGTCCCGGGGCGCAATGCGAGTAGACAGCATGCCCAATTGGCTGGAGCTCAGGCGAGGACCTTAGTCCTTGTCCGGAGGGTGGGTCACTACCCTGCCAGCTGTGTAAAAGTGTGCAGGCCACACAGCTCTCATGTTTCACTCTCATGTTTCACCTGGGCTTTGCACGCTTTTGCACTTTTTTGGAATGCCGACTGTCGAGAGCTTGTCCCATACATAGGCCTCAGTAAACCAACTGGGCAGCCTGCAATCGTCTTATAGCTACCCAAGGACCACGACGAGCAAAATGAGCACTCCTTTAAAAGTGCTCACCGCAGAGGCCTGCCACACCAGGCCTTTCGTCTTCCCCAGCCTTAGCTGCAAGCTGCTACATCGCATCCGATCGCATTCGATCCGTTTGCCATAATTCATTGCCCAACCAAAATAGCACAGCAGTGTCACCCTTTTCACTCCATTCTCACTCATGCATGTACAAAGATGAGTCTGTTCTTTTGTTTTCGCGTTGGTTTTGCGTGTTCTGTTGTGTTTGGTTTTGTTTGGGTGCGGTTTTTGTGGTTTCTTTTTCTACAACAGACTCATTAAAAAAGAACAGCACAAACTGACCTGTGCACTTCCTGCACGTACGGCGGCTCCACCCGTGCAAAAAAAAACTTTCGTTTGTCACGTCAGGGTTTTTGGGCTCCTCTGTTTTCCAAGGCCATCCTTCAAGCTGTGATACTTGTGCACTTCGATTTGCATTCTCTCGACTATCGAGTAATAGCCAAACAGAATAATAACAGAGTGGCCAACAGATGCTTTATAGCCATCTGCTGATCAAGATGAGCACGATGAGCACTTCTTTGAACAGTGCTCTTTGCGCAGGCCTGCCGCGACAGGCCTACCGCCTATTTTTTTAGTTGACACTATGAATTACCTGCCCTTCGACATTTTTGCCTTAATTCATTGCCCAAAAACGTCTTCGCAATAGCGTCTCAACGTTTCACCCTAGGTTTCACCTTTTGCATGTACAACGCGGGGTCTCCTTGTTCTCTTTGCTGGTGTTTTGTGTTGTTGCTTTTGTCTTTTGGGGCTTTTGGTTTGGTTTGGTGGTTTTCTGTTTTGGCCCTCTTTCATCCTGGAGACCCTACCAAAAAATTGCACAAGCTGACCTGTGCACTTCCTGCATGAATGGCGGCTCCACCAGTGCAAAAAAGAAGCAGGCTCACACAATGTGAGAAGGTATGTTCATTAATGGCTTTGATCGATGTGGTGGAGAGATCAACCTGGGCGAGATTTTTGCAGTTTTCACACGCTAGAGACCCTAGGAAGTTAGCTTCTGTCGGAAGCGTGAGGCTGACAAGTCCCGATGAGCTAAAGCAACCTTGTGGTACTCCTCGATATGGAGGAGGTAGTGGAGGAAACTTTGGCCTCGTCAAACCTTGGGTGAAAATGATCTGGGGGAGCCTAAGGCAGCTCTCAAAGAGGTGCGGGGCCAGTGTCGCCCCAGGGGCTAGTATGTTGGCGCCACCATCACTTGTACCAATATGCTGGAGCGAACAGCATTCAGCAAAAGCTTGGACACCAAAGTCTACGCATCCTGGTGCAACAACTGTGAATAGCGCATAGCATTCCAAGACAGCTTGCTGAATACACACCACTGTCGCAGGGAGTTTGACGATCTGCAGTTGGTAACAGTTCTGCCACGCCGAGTAAAAAACAGTGTGTAGGCTGGGTTCAGCCAAGACATGTCTCAGTCGTGGGACCGAAGAGAAAGCGTTGTTCGGGATTACTCCTACGGTATTTGCCGGGATTCGTATAGCTTTCGGGCAATTATTCAGGTAATTATCCCGCACCACCAGATGAAAGCGTGTATTGTGTTGTTTCGAAGAGTATCCCATGTGGGATCCTGCAAGGGTTCATGGGTGTTCGGGTGCATTAGGTCCACTTCACAGCCAAATTGTCAATCTGGCTAACCGTGGGCAACAATTCCACAATGAGGTCTTCCAGTGCTTCGAAAAGATCATGCTCACGAATATTAGTGGGCATGAGGATATCATTTCCTGCCAGTGTGGTGAGCGTGAGCTGGCAGGTTGCACCATCCTCGGTCTCAGCTGGGGTACTAGGTTGGGAACGGCAGGCAGCAGCCATTCAGACCGTCACTGTTTGCAATTTGCACTGGCAGCACTCACAGTGCTTTACCAATCTTGCTTGAGCCAAGAGGTTGCAGCAGCGTGTGCCGGGGTTCCACCTGTATTGGAAACATTTGCCATTGGGCAGTGCGAACCTGCAAATCAGCTCGGAAAAATACGGAAAGCGGAGCAGCAGCATTGTATTGCTGCAGGGCAGTCGGACCTCATATTTTCATTGATTTTACGGTGTTTTACGCACACTACGCAGAAGACCACCTGTCCAAGTCGAACGGCAGAGAAAACAAATATCTTTACACTTGTCGGACCTGAGTCTGTCAGTTTTTACGGTGTTATGCGCACATGACGCAAAAGGACTGCCTGCCCAAATCAAACGGCAGAGAAAAAGCAGCCAAGTGGACGAACATCGCCGCAAAAACAAAGTAACAGCAGCAACGCCTTCAACATAGATCCCACAGCCCCAATCACTTCCAACATACCTCCACGAGAAGCTAAGAGAGCCCCAACATTGGGCGAAACGTGCCAACATGGAGAAGGACATGCCCCAAGAATGCACCAAGATCGCCGAAGGTTGGGGCAAACATGCCCCAAATTTGACTGCCCATTGGAGCTAGCTTTCGTAAGCAACAAAAACGACAAAAAAACTGTCAAAGCGACATGTTTCATGGATTTATGGTGTTTTGCGCACAGTACGCAAAAGACCACCTGCCAAATCAAACGGGGCAGAGAAAAAGAACCAAGTCGACCAACATGGCCGCAAAACAAGCAACACAACAGTTGCAAAGCCTTCAACACAGCCCTGATGTGGACCCCACGGCCCCAATCACTTCCAACACACTGTACCTCCATGAGAAGGCTCAAGAGAGCCCCAACATTGGATGGAACCAAACTGCTCCCAGCCTCACGCCAAGAAAACACACAAGTCTCATCAGCTTCTGATTCTGTGAAAGCAACAGTTTTTGACATGGTTCCAGTGGAATCAGCTTCTGCACTGCAAACAGAATCGTGGCAGTAGTTGTGGAACAGCAGCAGAAGTGGTTGTAGCAGCAGTCGTTGCAGCAGCAGTAGTGGTTTTGTTGTTGTTCTTGTTGTGCAACTTTGCGACTGGGATGTTTGCCAAGAGTTTGCAAAACACCAGTGCGAAGGTGGTTGGAAAAAGGTTTGGTGCAAGTTTGCTGCTGTGTGGCTTTTGGTTTCCTGTTGGAAGTGCCTGACAACCTCTTTGTGAAAGGGTTTTTGCTAACCGACTTCTTTGCAACCGTGAACTTGCCCGTCACAAGGAACTTTTTGCAGCAACGAGGTTCAGTGAAACCCTAGTCTGTGTTGCCCGAGCATCCTTCAGTTCAAAAACTCATTTCCGAGGAACGGAACTGCGCAGCGGCAAACTGAAGTAGTTCAGGTTGTAATTGTTGCGTTTTCAGATTCATCCAGCGCGAAATTGATTTACATACTGAGATCAACACTTGGAAGCTTGGGTTTTCGTTGTGTGTGAGGCAGGTGAAAATGAAGTTGGGGGTAGTGGAAAAAGTGGATCTCAAAGGCGTCGGCGAACGAAGTCCGACTTGCAAGTAGGTGGCACCTTCTCTGGCGCTCGGAAGAGGCGTGTCTCGCCTCAAGGCGCAGCCACAGGCCACACGTGCGCGCAGCCCACCCTTGAGGTGTTAAAAGGGCCGCCGGACATTCATGTATCTTTCCATCCTGATGTCATGGCATGAAATTCACACATACCAAAGACGTGTGTTGAACTTGTTTGTCAAAAGGCATCAACTTTCGTGTGCAGTTCCCTTTCCGTCATGCGGATCCATTGTTATTTAGTTTTTTCTGTGCCGTGTTGGCTCGAGCCCCGCGGCGGAACTATGTTTTTAAGAGGCCATGCCCGAAGGGATGCGCGGTCAAGATGAACAACTGCGTACATTTATGCAATGCTTGATGTTACCATCACCTCCGCCAGCGTTTCACAGCTGCACGCGTTGTCGGTTTGACTTAGATATTTGGAGCAGCCATACGTGTGAAACATGTATAGAATTATTGAAGTGTATATATGCATGTGTGCATGCATATGTATCTGTGGACATACAGGAATATGGAGTTCTTCAAACCGAGGGACCGCTTTTGAACATTCTGTGGTCCATGTTTTTTCATTTGAAGTGGTTCATTGTTTTTTTGGGTCACCTCATGTCCCCTTACTTTAACTCTCATGCCATCATGTGTCATCTCAATTCACCCCATAACATCGGTGCACAAGTTATTGCTCTCAATCAGTCTGACCTCGATCGCAGTGTCCCCTCCCTTTGTAAACCATGTCGACCTTTCACAGGACGAACGTTCTGCTCAACCGCTTTTCCACAAAATTGTTTGGACCTTCCTCGGTACGTTGGGAAGGATATCCAGACAGTCACTCATGTTCACAGAGCTTTGCATCCAAGGTCAAAGTCCGTGTCTTCCAAGATGTACCACGGATGCAGCATGAACTGAATGTTGTGGAGAGTCGTACTCAAACTCATGATACTCGTGTGACTCATGTTCTTTTTTCCTCAGGCTCAGAACTGTGCCTCGAGGTCATGTCAGGTGCAAGCCTTGGAATCACACTCCAAGACACCAATCCGAATCAAAGCGATAGTCAATGAAACCATGGTCGATCAAATGGGTAAAGAGACGGAAGTGCAGCATCGATTCAGGATAGATCTTCCTTTTGACCAAGCATTGGAACAGCTCACTGCCTGCATTGTGCACGAACAGGCGGGTTTTCAACAACAGTTTGGAGTTTGGAGGGTTAAATTTGAGGCACCAAGGGGTCGCAAGGAGTTCCTTGCCGATTCTCCGAGCTGTTGGCCAGGTGCAGGAGAGGTCGAACAGTGCGGTTCTCAACGAGGGCGTGGAGTTTGGTTCTTTATTGGTTCTCCTGAGGTGGATGGTCTGAGCGCCAGTTGAGGCATGACCTTTGGATGATTGTTTGTTATGTCCTGTGTTTGACAAGGAGTCCTCAGTCCCCACAACCGCAGGCGTCCTGCATCCAGCAGCCAAGGGAGGCTGCGAGGCCAATCAGCACGTCCTGCATCCACTTTCGTTGCTTGACCTCCACTTTTGCGTGAATTTTTGTTCAGGTGCTGCGCAGCTGAAGCGTTCGCGCAGTACTGGTGGTCACTTGGTGCAGGATGCCTGCGAAGCCAATGGAATGATGGACCTGCAAGAACTTCCCAGAATGCCTCAGAACAGCAAGAACAGCAAGAGTAGCAAGAGTGGTTTCATTGGAATGTTGAACTGGCCAAGTCACTTTGAGCTTCGCCCTTAAAGAGATCATTGGGTCCTCTGTGAGACTCATGCGACCCAAGGTGCTCAAATGGCTGTAGGTGATCATGAGTCATACGCTCCTTTTTGAAAGTTTGAACCTTGATGCATACTCATCATATGGAACATGTCCTTCAGCAATTACCATTGAATCCTTCCGCTTCTTAGGTTCTCCGTCGTCCAAGAGGGGATTTGTGCCAGAAGGCTCCGTTTTCTTCGCTCGGAGTGGCATCAAATACCTTTGTGAAACCATGCAGGCACGTGCTTCAACAATCCATTTGGGCAGTGGCCCCGCACACCACCGCACCTAGTCGGAGTGATGTTGCATTCTCAGAGCAGTTGCAGTAAAAAATAAAAACACAGTGATGTGCAATGTTCTGTGGCAGCGGCAAGTCTAGCATGACAGTCTTGCAGATGTTAATTGCAGCCGCCCAAGGGGTGGATCCTCCCTCACTTCCAGCCCAAGTTTGGAGCACAGACATGATGCCTTTGAGGTTCTTAGAGTTCATGCAGTCCCTGCACTTCACAGAGAGATCAGAGCAGAAACAGAATTGCATCAGTAGCTAGCCCTAGTCCTTACCTTGTTTTTTTTTGGTGGCATTTTGCTGAGAGCGGAGTTGCACCTTTGAGAGCAAGGCCGTCCAAAGCGAGAAGCCTGGGGTGACCCGGCCGAGTGTTGATTGTCAGTTCCAATCTCCAGAAAGTTCGGTGTGGGAAAGGACTTGTTGGAGGCCTAAGGGCCTTAAGGGGCTGTTCTCAGAATCTTGCAGATTCTTGCAGAAAGCATTCGGTAGGGAGTGAAGCTGAAGAGCCTGGAGACGCTGGAAAAGAAGGAGGTGATGGCAAGATCTTTTGCCGAACGTTTAACGGAGGTTTGATGGTGGGTGAACGGGTGGATGCACAGATTCATGCAGATTGGACTTAACTTTTCCTCGGGCTCTCATTGTATACTTACTTGTAACAGAATAGATTTCTGAACTGTACTCCTTTCTTTCAACTGAAGGGCCGTTTGCTTTCAAGAGGACCCTCCTTGCACAGGCAAGAAAAGCGCGATCCGACGGTTTTGTCATGAAATGATGGACGGTTTCAGGTGCAAGTCTCGCGCAGGTCAGGTCGAGCCCAAAATGGAGTGTGGACACCCGCAGCAGGTGAATTCCTGAACGCATGAGCCAGACAACGGCTTAACAAAGCGACACCAGAGAAGGCATAACAAAGAGACACCGTCGTCAGTGCCTCTGGCTTCAAGGCAAGGACAGGGCAAATTGCTGGTGAAGTGAAGGGCAATTGCACACTTGGCAATTGACATACATTGTATGTCATGAAAGCATCTGCGTTTTGCAAGAACAGCCCCGCCACAATGCAACGGGTCAGCAATCCCAAAGTACACTCACTGGCTCAGCAGCACGGAAACCGACATGGCAAAGGCCACAAGGCATTCGATCCACGTGAGCGACAAGCGAACTGGTTAAAGAGTAGGTTATATAAGTTATGTGAGAATGTATAGCAAGTCTTCGCAACAGATTTGGTTTGATCAGCACAGCAAAGCCACATGTCAGTTTTTTGTTTCAGTGGCCTCCCATTCTCATGCGCCTTAGAAAACTCATTTCGGATACCTGTGATATCAATCACACCCGCCAAGAAGGTCCATGTGCTCTGTAGCCTTCTTGCTCCCACATGATGGCTGGCTGGGGAGTACGGTCTCAGGACCCACAAATTGCACAGGAAGTGAGACAGCAACTTCAAGTGCAAAGCCCCAAAACAGTTTGCTAGCTGTATGCAGACAGCAGGCATGTGGTCAAACAGCAAAAACGTCATGGTCTTGATCATGAAAAGCTTAGGAAACTGAAACTCAAGAGGCAGAGGCATATTAAGAGTGCCACAAGATATTGGTAGAAGCACTACAGAAAGTAGATTCCAAACATATCATTGAAAGGAACGTCAGCTGCTATCTGATCAAGAGAGAACTGCTCACAAGTGGAAACTCCTGTACCGGATTGGCCCCCACATGAGAGGCCCAAGCATGGCCACACTTACAGGGGAGCGCGGGGCTTTGGTCTTAGTGCCTGCTACATATTGAAGGGTTTCTAATGTTGGAAGTATTCCTTCCTCTACGCTGTAAACTCATTGTGCCAGATCAGAACTTCTTTTGCCAGGAAAGGCAGCAAACAACCAGGACATGGATGAAGGCCTGTAAACACTTCTTTGAGTTATACCCCCCAGGACCTCCAAAGATGTTGCCCGGCAGGCGAAATGGACCTCTTGCGTCCCAAGACTCATCCGCGACCACCCAAAAAAGGTGGGGTGTAAGATGTGAGGAAGTTGTGAAAGGAAGAAATGAAGGATGCAGGATGCTATGTAGGGCAATCTCTTTTATTTGTACATCCGTATATTTTCTTCTGCAAGTTGCGAGAAATTAGGCCAAGCGTACCTTGTGCTCAGACTCAAGCCTCGAACATGTTCTGACATTTGGAAGTTCTGTCAGATGGAGCTCCCTTTATTCAGAACTAATCCACCAGTATTCAGGCCCATCTAGCTCCAGCAAGCTGCAAGTCAACCAAGCGCGCAGTGGCTTGGATTGCAGGTGCTTGTCTGATCAGAGGCATTTTTCCTCTACAGCTTAAAATACTTTGCAAATCTTGGTTCTTGAACCTGGCTCTTGAAGCCGTCCAAGAACATTCCTCGTATATAGCCTGGCTTTTCCAAACGTGACACAAGTGCCCATCAGAGCTCTCTTCCGCTCCTTCTGAGGTTCCAGCAGAGCTAGAAAGAAAACCTTGGCACCAAGCAGCAAGCTCACCTCCTCCAAGCTTCAGCTTGCGAAACACCTGAGCAAAATCATGTTTTAGTTGAGGTCCATCTAGAAGAGCCAGCGACAATAGCAGCGTGTCTGGTGCGAGATCTCAGCTAGTTGAGATTGAGATGCACTCAAACCAAACACGTCCACTTTTGTGCCAGCAAACCATCAATGTCGCATGAGTCAATCGATATTTCAGTTCCGAGGCCTCTCCACTTTAGGTCTGAGCCTGAGAGTGGGCCGACGACCGGACACTGAACTGACTGCCTGGTCAGCACTGGCGGATAGATCTAGACTTCCTGTTTTTCATGGCAATTGAATCTTGGTTTCTTGTGAAGGCCTCATGACTCATGCCGTGCAAGCTGTACTTTTTGCCACAATGTGAGGAACGCTGAAGCTGGGGAGTGAGGGCAGCTCCGCATTCGGTCTGACACTGAAATGACAGAGAGCGAAAGGGGGAGAGAGAAATCAAGTGAAGTCAATTGATTTGGCGGTGGTGCCTGGCGGTGGCAAAAGTAACGAGCTGACTTTTTCAATTTAGGACAGACTGCCCAATTTGACTTAGCTGCGAAGGTTCTCGAGAGCCGTCCAAAGTCAAAGGCCAGGGTGGAAAATGACGCCAGAAGGAGAAGCGACAAACCCTTTGGGTTTCAAAAACTTGAGGCGGTGGGTTGATGGCAGTTAATGGCTGTGCACATCCAGTTCTGAGTGAACAAACACGAACGTCTAGTGAACTAGGCCCACAGTGCCCCCTCCCACTTTCACGTGCTGAGACTTCTTTTCTTCCACCCTTCCATCCACCGATGGGAGGCACTCTGCTCTCACAGACGTGGCCGATGGGCCAGCAGTATCTTTCTCCAGAGGTGCCGGTCGTCGAGGCCGAGTGGTCCTGGGTCCGGTGAGTAGTCTGAGGCTGAGCGAGTCTCAGGGAGTAAGCAGGCTGAGTGGCAGATGTTTTGGACTGAAGAGTTGTGGCACGTGGGTGTTGGCAAGTTTGTGAATGCGAAGAACGAGCTTGCAGCCGGCTCACATTTCTGAGTTTTCCCATGAATGTCTCCTGCAGGAAGAGCAAAATAGAGCAAAGGCAAGTGGACCTGTTGGAGGGAGACATTGATCCTATTTCAGCAGAGACCAAGGGTGTTTATCAAATAGTCGACAGAAAGAGGACAATTTGTGAACTATTCATTATTGTTGTTACTATTCTTATTTTCTAACATATATTTTTGTGTGTTTCTATGTACGGCTTTTTGTTCCATGATTGGGTTCTGATCTCATTCTGCACGTTTGACAGCTTGCACAACCTGACCTTCTCTCTCTCTCTATATATATATGTTTTGCTTTTAGAAAAGTCAGTTTGCTTTCATAAGACTACATATTTGTTGTGCTTTCTTATGATGGCAGGACTTCACCGAGCAGGCTCTCGCGGTCAAGCTTTGCTTGCCTTTGGAAGTTGCAAAGCAGGCCAGCTTTGCCAAACAGAAAAAGTGTCATTCTCTTGTTGCATTAATGTTGTGTACCCATGTTTTGGGTTTCAATCATGGGAAGGGAACACATTGCGGATCTCAATACTTGACAAACGGCACAGCTGAATGACACTTGTCTTTGAATTTGCCTACAGCTAATGTTCGAAAGTTTGCTCCGTTGTTGTCTCTAGCTCATTCAAAAAGCTGTAAATGCCATTGAAAGACCAGTTGTCATAGAGCTGCAGGCCGCCGAGTGCTTCAAACATCATGTCCCTCGGCCAGCGTGTTCTCGGAAAAGAATATGCCCGATTGCCAACCTTTGGATAGAAGACATTTGAGGAGTCCATGCTCTATAATTAAACATTTCGTTGTGTATTTGCAGAGTCAAAGCTGATTCCTCGCTTGGAAGTAGAGTGGTAATAGCAGCCTCAAGTCAATGGACACACTTGGGCCTTTGGTACCCTGTGTTTCCAAGCTGAGTGGGAAAGTGTGGCGTTTGGGCTGCAGATTTGGTTCACATTTTCATCAGATGATTGGATCCCTGCGCTTAGCAAGCCATCATTTAATCACTGAGCAGCTCTAAAATCAGGCTCGATTAAATACTCTCCGGTTCTCTGGTTTTTGCACTGCAAACAAAGGCACAGTGTGATGCAAGTGATCGGCCTGACCTTTGGCGAAACTTGGAAAAACAAGAAGATTCACCTGATCCTTGTTTCTACTAGCTTCTTGTTACTACTAGTAAGGCACTTGTTACTAGAAGCGATGCACTTGTTACTAGAAGCTGCATGTGCATTTTGTGATGACATCGCATTGAGTTCATTTGCATCACCTGGAATCAGAGTGAGTTCCGTACTTGGGAAGAATCGCCAAACTTAGCAAGTAGACCTGAGTGAGATTTTTGGTGAAAATTTTCTTGTGTATGATTGGTCCTGCCAGACAGCAAGGTCCTCTTACACTAGGCCTTGTAAAGGGACACACATTGGGTCGAGTGGCAACCCGCTCGAATGGAAGAAGGATCGTCCAGCGATGGACCAAGGACTGAAACGCTCGGACTTCGAGAAGGCAACGTATGGAAGAAGAGTTTTTTCATCACCAACGAAGAACACAGGGCGTTCCACAGCTTTCAGCGCCAAAGTGCTCAAGCATGCTGAAGTTCTGCTGATTTGCTCAACTGCGTTAAGAGGTGGTGACTGGGTAAGAGATTTTGTTAAGGACCAACGAGAGTGCTTCACAACATAGAGCCGAATGATACCTTTCGACTTTTAGAGATTCTCAAAAAGTCTTTCCAATTTCTCATCAAAGACTTGATTTGGACGAGTGTGTGTTTTTTCCCACACCTGGTTCCAATTTCATGGCCATATGCAGGTCCTGTGTGAAATCTTTTGCATTTCCAGTGTGCAAGAGCTTCCGGACCACTTTGTCAGCAAGGTGCAGCTGCGAGCAGTCCTGCCCAACGAGGGTTCCTGAACCAAGGAAATGCTCTAATTGAGATCTGATGCCCGTAATGTTGGTGAGTTTGCGGGCGGCCTAACAGTTACAACTTACGATAAAGTGGATTATCTGAATAAATAAGGAAAGAAAGACAGAAAGAAGGACAGAAAGAAAGACAGAAAGAAGAAAGAAAGACAGACAGACCGACAGAAAGAAAGAAAGAAAGACAGACAGACAGACAGACAGACAGAAAGACAGCAAGGACGGAAGAAAGAAGAAAAATAAGGAAAGAACGAAAGAAGGAAAGACAGAAAGAAATAAAGAAATAGAGACAGACAGACAGTTAGAAAGCAAGGAAGGAAGAAAGAAGGAAAAGAAGAAAGAAGGAAATAAACAAAGAAAGAGAGCACACATTCCTCAGAGCTGACGTGCCTAGTGATGCTTCCCGCACCTGACCACCGAAGTCATGTGGCCTTGGAGGTCTTCCACTGCGCGGACGTAACCAGAAGTGGCGATCTGGATCTGGAGGAACAAAGCACCGTGTGAAACTGGGTGCTTGAAGCAGTCCGAGGAGGCTTTCTCAACCACTTTACAACTGGGATACGGTTACACCTAGGTTCAAGGACTCCTTTTTTCCATCGTGGGAGATTCATTGGACACCGTGACCAACAGAGCCGACAAAGTGAACAATACCCCTGAAAGTTGGAAGTCTTCAGATCATTTGTCTGTTAGTTTGTTTGGGTGGTGCTGGTGCTGCATTTCAGTCGGAATATGTGACCTTCGTGCTGTTTGTCTTGGCCAGGAGTTCATGTCTTGGTACACCACCTTCAGCTTCTCTGAGGACGCCTCCCAGATGGGCATGAACCGGAGATTTCGGACCTGTTTCTCTGGGATGATTTTTGACGTTCACCCATTGATTCTCTTTTCGATTTGTTCTTCTTGCCAAAACAACTAGCAAAGGATCCTGACACAGCCCACAGCCTGGCCAATGAATTGCACATCGCTCGACTGAGAGGCTGCAAATTTGAGACCTACTCATCTGGTTGTGCTTCAACCCCGCAGTTAGAGGGCAACATAGATTGAGGGGGAGTCCTTTTCTTTGGCAGTAGCAATGTCATTGAATGCCAATTTGAGGTCTCGAACCATTTCTTCCTCACCATGTGGGTGGTTGGGAGATTCAGGGCTCCATGAGCCACGTTCGGTTCCAGGAGCTTCTGCTGGGGAAGTCCACGAAGTCGATACGGGACGCAGCTTGGATGGCAAGGCACATGGCTGTGGGTCAAAAAATAGGATACCATCCAAATCCACCGGTCAAAAGAACACTCACTTGGCTAAAGCACTGTAACTGTAAGTCACTGGGAGGTCTTTGGTCAAGACGATAGGACCACCAGTTTGTAGAACAGGAAGATGCACGAGGAGAATAAACTCCATGAAAGGATTTAGCAAGGGCTTAAGAATCTGAGTACCTGCAAAAAAGAACACCCAGTTGGGGAAAGCTTGGCGAAAGGTTTGAAGAACGATTCGATCCTTTTGTTGAATGAATTATGTTGCGAACCGGTGGCCGAAAGAGGGTTTCAGTATAATGCATTTCATTTTGTACGATTTGCTTTCTATCCTGTTTTGGTAGTGGTTCATGGCTAACAAATTCCTCAAAGGTTAGGCAAAAGGTTGGCGAAGATCGCCCGAAAGGACCCCAAAGCTCAACCTCGAAGAACTTCAATTTATGCCCGAGCGTCGCTAAGATTGTTGCGAAGAAGGGTCCAAAACCACCCGGAAGATCTCAGATTGCGGTAGCTAGATTTTATCAGGATGATGTACAGTACTTCTCAATCCAGGTGAATTCCGAAGTTGTTTTCGCTGTTGCTCCTCCATCTTGTCTTCCCACTTGCCCCCCTCATTGTCTCTGTGATGTGGATTCGCCGCTGTCTTGTCTCGCAAGCAAAGGGGAATCATTACCCCTTGTTCATTCTTTTCCACAGTTCGTCGGTGAACACGGCAATACAATTTATCAACACAACAAAATCAGCCGATGTTATAAGCCACACGTGTCAGCTGGCTCAGTCAGGTTGCTCGTCGAATGGGCATCAACCTGCTTGACATTGATCGGTACAAGAAGGTCTTCGACAGCTACGACAAGAACAAAAGTGGTGTTTTGGAGAACCTTGGACTGGAAAAGATGGACACAGGCCGATAGCGCAAAGTGTTTGGTGAAGGGCTTTAACATAACGAAGCAGAATGTAAGGGATTGTGAGGGCTGCTTTAATAACATGCGACGCGGAAGCTCGCTTGTCGCCGTGGATCGTGTCATGCCGGCGTGAGAGCAAAAAACATAAGGGCCCCTTGAAAGTGTCCTTATATAATCCCTACTACCCCTTTAACGATCGAAAATGGAGGGGGACCTCCAGAAATGTAACTTACATTTGTTTGGGGGAGGGGGGGGTGAATTAGATGTAAGATTTAAGACTGTAGGTACACAAGACAGTATTTGATAGTATATGGATGTGACCCCCCCCATGATTTGAATGAATTATTCCTCGGTTTTTCCTGGGGAATACAATGGAATACAGAGTCCATGCCATACTGATCCGTTTCCGATTTTGTGGGGGGCGGGGGGGGAAAAATGTAACTTACATTTTTCTTCACCCCCCCATCTGTCCCCCCTATCTGTTAGGTAACCAGAAACACGACATCACATGAAATCATTATATTGATATTCTATCCTACCCAGGAATGTAGGGGGACCTCCAGAAACGTAGCTTACATTTTGTCAAACATGTAATTTACATGTTTTTCAAAAATGTAACTTACATTTAGGAACCCCCCTGGACTTTTGGGGGGACCTCAAACATGTAAGCTTACATTTTTAAAAAAGGTAAGCTAGGGGGGTTCAGGAAAATGTATTATTACATTTTCAAGGTGGTATGGTCAGAAAATGTAACTTACATTTTCCAGAGGTCCCCCCCGAAATAGGGTAGGGATCTCATATATATATATATATGTATCCTCTTCCTCTCTTCGCATGTGGATTCTGACTTGGACCGGGGGTGTAAAGAAGACACTCCACCACCGCCTCGCTGGCCTGGTGGAACACCACACTGGTGGATTCGCCTTTTGCCATCAAAGCCGGCAACAAAGCTTGGTTAGTTTTCCTTTGAACCATTTACTTTTTCCACGTTGAAAGAACCGTTGAGTTGCATTGGAATCCCAAGAACAAGGCTGCTTTTGTCGCCCTGTTGAGGATCGACGAGTTTGGGCCCATGCTACAGCGCGTGCTCAAGGTGGAGCTATGATCTGGAAAGTTGGGTGTCCCTGGGTTTTGGGTGTCCCTTAGAATGAGTAAACAGGTTGGATGCTGGCACCCGAATTCACCACTGCCGAGATGTGCTTAGCAGGGAAGAAGGTATGCTTGCAGGTAGCTTCATTTGAAGAGTGAGGACATTGCAGTGATGATGTCTCGGATTCAACGAGCCGATAGAAACCCGATTTAAAGTGGAGACCTGGTCAGCTCGTGTCCAGATACCCGCCGGCCATCAGCTTCCAAGCTCTCAGATCAAAAGCTATTGGAATATGGCTGATAGCGCTTTGGCAGCAGGGCCAGACAGGTTTCCTTCATCTGACAGCTGTTTTCTTTGAAGTTCTCCATGTGCTGAAGCTAGACACATCATAGCTGTTTCCCAAACGCAGCTGCTGAATCTTAGGAGACAACAACGGAGTGATCGATTTCCCCGAGTTCTGCCAGTTCTACCTGCTACTTGCTTGCACTAGACGGTGAATTGCTGCAAATAGAACCCTCAATTGAGAACTAGAAACCATAAAACCATTAGAAGAGATATCCCAAATCTTGTGAAGGCCCGAAGAACACCAGACTTTCGCACAACTGCTGCACAGTTGTCTCTATTGAATCTAAACTGGAGGAAGATCTTCCGAAAGAACGGCGAGGAGAACTTCCAACTGGGCGACATCTACCGAGGGATTCGAAATGTCCCGGTGAGACGGCGTGTCTCAGGTGCCGACTAGCTGCGAGACTGGCAGGGACCACAAGAAGCAAGCTTTTTCCTTTTTGTGAAGACTCCATAAGCCTGCGACTTGTGCCTGTACTCTCAAAGCCTAAGTTTTAAACCTCATGCATCCTCCAAAGGAGACCCAGCAGGGAAAAGCCACGCCCTGGTGCAGCATTGCGGCAAGTATGTTTTCCGCACATTTGTCGCCTTCTTTGCCTTTCATGCAGCATACCTTTGTTTGCACGATTGGATCTCTGCTCCGTGAGCTTTTGGTCGACTGTGTTGGAATTGGTCTTTTGGAGCCAACACGGTCGACCCAGCTCTGCACTGTGCCGCAAAGCTCTTGAGTCAAGTGGCTGGAAGGGGGAGCATTCGCCAAGTTTGAATCGGTGTGGCACTGAGTCCATGAGACATTTCGATCCGCATACGATGGGATATCGTGGGACATCGTGGGACCATGGGTTAATGCATACCATGGATGTACAAAAGTCCTGCACCACCTCTAAGCGGGGGTTCCCCCAATGACGACTCAGCTGGTGCAAGATTCCCGTCCAAGGGAGCGCAAAGCCGCTATGAAGTTCAAGAAGAAGCTGACCTTAAGGCTGTCGCTGCATGACTTATGCTGAGACTCCACAACAAAAACCTAGAAAGGAATGCGTACGTACAAGGCGGCAGGGCATTCAAGCAACGCAGAATGGCTGGACAAGCCATCGAACATCGAATCATGTGTCATCTGACTGATTCCAGGCAGGCGCTCTTGTGTCCGAAGCCTGGTTGCCTGTTTCTGAAGAAGCCAGCTCCCCAGCCCACAGGTGAGGTGTTGCAGACAACCTCTTCAGAACTTTTGACACATGCATACCACCTGTTAGCACTTGTCAGCGGGTGATTCCAATATTCCTGCCCAGCTTCTTTTTTGACCATAGCCATTGGCCAGGTCAACTTACTGTAAAGAGCCTCTGCCTCTCTCTCTCTCTCTCTCTTTCTTTATGTTTGCTTGTTTGTCTGTATGTCTGTCCGTCCGTCGGTCTGTCTTTCTTACTGCCAACAGCACCCTATCCGAGGCATCTTCCAAAGACGAAGACTCGGGGCCCCCGTGCTCCACTGGTGCCAAGGTGGAGCGGTCGAGCAGAAAACCTGTCAGCTGCCACAAGAGACGGAAACCATTCTATCTTTCCCTTCCTCTAGCAGATCATTTTTGATTCGTGATTCACGACCCAACGTGTGCATGATGAAAGTTTATGTTTATTGACACTGTGATGGACATGTAGTGTAGGGGCTTGCATTTCAGAAGACAGTGTTTGACTTGAAGAAGCTCCACGCTGGAGTTGGTGAAACCCATGAACCTCCAACGTTTTCTGGTTGGTTTTGTTGGTTTCACCGGTTTCACCAAAGCCTCATATCGCGTGTGTTGGCCTTCAGGTCTTGGTGGTCAGAGCTGCCCACCTGGATTGCTCTCCACGCAGAGCGACTTGTTTAAGAAAGAGACTTCAAGCTTCGCAAAATCTCAGGGTTGGATTCCATGTTTCAACATGTTTTAGCTGCAAAAACTGGCAGCTTCCCTGTAAACGGTGGCGTTTGAGATGGTCAAGGCTCCTGTGAATGGCAGATTGTAGTTTCAGGGAGCAACCGACCAATCCTCACATAAGCTGGTCAAGCAGAAACAGTGCTGGTCAAGTGATGTGCGGGTGGGAAGTTTCAGGACATCGATTGGAACGACCCAATCGGCCATAATGTTGATGTTTAGGCGTATGGAAGTCCAAGATGTCGCATGTCGTGTTTTCTTCTGCGAAGGGTTTTGCTTTGACCCAAAGTTGAATGGACACTATATAGAGACCGGGCCACAGCCCCTCCTGCCCTTTGGAACCTTTGGGACAATTTAGCTCAGTATGTTCAACAGTTTGTAGACTTTTTGCCTGTTCAAGTCGATAGTGGACTGAACAGTGAGGACATGCCTAAGGCGCGGACCTGTGCGAAAGTGCTGGGAAGGCCATCGCCTGGTTCAAGCTACTCAGGACGCCTGGGCACCACAAGTTCACAAAGATGGACTGGAGTCAGAGTGATCCGAGTAATCCTGCTATTCGCCATGGGCTACCATTGCGGGTACTTCTTCTTGAGTTGACCTTGCCACAAGAGCAAGAGAGGTCACGGTCACTCCAAAGGAAGTTGAAAGGTGGACATGACGTGATTAGGACAAAGTGCAGGGCTGAAACAGCGGATTCGGAGCGCGCAGGATGGACGGAGGCACGGCGGCTGCAACAGGTCTAGAGCCTAGTGAGTCCAGCTAAATTGTTCTACATACTGCTGCTCATCACGGGCGGATTTGTCCCATCCAATGAAGCATGCATTTACTAATTGGGGTTGGAAACAAAGGGCTGCATCTGGCTGAGATGCTACGAGCAGCCACCAGCGGGCAGCCCCATTTGGGTCTGCCACTCGTGGGGCTCCCAGCAGTCCTTTTCTCTGCAGAATTGGCACGGGCTCGGTTTTTTTGGACCTTGCACGCAGCAGGGTCTCGCAGCAGTTTCTGCTGATTAGACAAAGCCACAGGGTTTTTCTTGCACGGGTGTGTAGATCTCAGATCACAAAAGCAACACTTGTTCCGCTTCCTCAAAGAGTTCGAGACGCTGTATTTGAGCGGTTTTCATCTTAGCATCATGCGCGGTGCCATGGAATCTCTGAGGCGCGATGAGGATTCAAAAGAACTGTTTTTTCTGGCAAGTCTGGAAAACGACTGGAAGAAATTGGGTTTCTCGACTTGCACAAGCTGGGTTTTACAACCTTGATCGCCACACAAAGGTGATCCTTTTCCAGCTAGGTATGGGAAGGCTGAGGAGCCCGCAATCGAACATGCATGATGCAAATCACCTGGGTTGTTTTTCCCGAACCTGGGCCTTCGAACTAGCTCGTGGTGCTTTGACCTGTGGTTCCCCCATGTTTCCCATGGAGGCAGCTGCGTGGAGTGACGCAGGAGATGGGGTGGGTTGGACGTTAGAGTCAGGTCACCGGGATTCCAAAAGGGTTCCAGTCAGCTCAGGGAAAGTTGACCAGAAACCGCCGCCCACAAGGGTTTGGCTGGTCACATGCGGATCATTTCGTTTGGGTTGATCAATTCGACCGACCTGGGCACGATGGCTGAAGGGAGGCGAAAGAATCACAGCAGTTGTGGTGGTGCCTGGCCTTTGTGTTTCAATTCACTGCTGCTTCTTCGTAGGACTCTGATCCTGCACGTGTACGCAGTGCCCGTGGATTGCTTGTGCTCGGTGCAGTTGGAGGCGATGTCCACAGAGCGATGCGGGTCTCGGGATTGATGAAAGAGAATGGTTTTAGAGTCGAGGATGTGATCTTTCATTCCAAAGTGCTTCAGGATTCGGGATGAAGAACGACTTTAGAAAAAGACATTAAGGAACCTAATAGCGATGGCCTCCAACCTCTTTCACTCCAAAGTGCATGCAGCTTAAAGACGTGCTTGCCTGAACCCTTGATTCTACCTGGTTGTGGCTAAGACAAAGCCATTCACGATGCCCGCCGTTGGCAGTTACTGCGATGTGCTAGCATGATGGTTGATGGACAATTCCGCTTCCGCAGTAGATGGTGTAAACTGTAAGCTAGACACTGGATCTTGTACGAGACGAACGTACTGAGGCTTACCCACCAAACCATGCCTTAGGGTAACAACTTATTTCGAGCATCCCCTTCCGAAACTTTCATTGTTTTTTCGAAGACAAGATGCAATGTCAAATGCTCCACTCTGCCAAGACAGGCTTCCTGGTGGCCTGCTGCACGGGCTTGGTGGGCATGCTGGTGGGCCGCTACCTCGCAGGAGACAGTGTGAAAGAACATGTCCGAGTGGAGAGATGGGGTCTTGAAGGAATGAAATGCAGCCAAGTTAATCAAGTAGACCTGGTAAGGATGTTGCATGATCTTACTCTTCGCACTCAGCTGGCAGTCCCTTCTACCACCCAAGAGTCAAGTTCTGCTCCAGGCAATGGGAATGCGAAGTCGCTACTTGGCGTGCTCGGGCGTTTGTGAATGCTGGGGTCAAGATTTCTCACTGCTTCTGGCAAAGGCTCTTACTCTGACTGACTGGCTGTGTGTGGCCATTGCCTCTTGATTTGTCTCTAGCTGGTGCAGACACCCTCTTTCCGCATACTTGGAGTTACAAGGCTTTGCTGTGCCAATCTGAGGTCTACTCTAGATCCTGTGGTGCTGTCGCTGTCGCTCACACTGCAAATGAAATTGGCTGGAGCGAGTATCGCACTTCCCGAAACCAACATTTACTCTTGCAAGTGGTTTTGAGATCTTGCTTTCCTCTCATTTGTGAGTGTACATATTGTATTTTCAGTTTCGTGGGATCATCGTTCAGTCGAGTCAAGGAGTTTCCAAAGTTCTACAAGGAATCAGCAGGGCCTTTGTTCGACAGTTGACAGTTTCAAGGCCTGTGATGAGAGCTTCAGCGCCACATCCGCTTGCAGGCAAGAACCACATCTTGAATTTCTGAAAGTCACATTGTTCTATGGCCAGATACGCATTTCTGCAGGCCGAGTTCGCCAACGGGAACATGATCGCTTCTTCAGCAGGCCTGGTCCACACTGGTGTCTGGTGTTAGGCTTTGGAGTCTTGTCTTTCAAGCTCCAGCTTCACATCTGAGCATGTCAAGACATTTATATATCTGGAATCGCTACTAAGAACAAGGAGGCTACTAGTAACAAAGGGCATCGCTAATAGGAGCAATAAGCTACTAGTTGCTCCTGGCATCGCTACTAGGAACAAGGACGCTAGGGGGTCCTTCACCCAGGTTCTCAAAGCCTCCCAGGCACTCCCAGGTATCTCCAGACGGCGCCAGGTACATGCGCTTGCAAAAGGGAACCTTTCCAACTGAGGCAGTCGGAACGATTTTACAAGAGTTTGTTGGGTTTCCAAAACCACTGCAAACATGTAGGCTAAAGCGGCCTACGTTCTTTTTTTGACAAGGTTTCAGATTTTGGACCGGTAAGCTCTATCTAGCCCCCCCCCCCCAAAAAGACAATATATATATATATATATGTCAAACCGATGCTATGTGGTCCCGGTCTACAGCAACCTTCCCACGAAGATGTTTACTTGAAGATTTGTGTTTCTGCTTCTACCAGTAAAGAGTGTGCTACATGTGGAAGAAGAACTGATGTCTCTGACGCAGCCGCTCACCAACCAATCCTTAACTCGTTTCTCATTGTGCAAGCATTGCCTGAGATCGACATCAAGAACCAAGATGATGCTGTCTACTATGGCATTTTGGCTACAAAAAGAGGACTGTGATACGTGTAGATTGCATTGGTGCCAGCTGGCCGCACGGCAGTGTTGACATACCCCTGCAATTCTGCCACATCTCAAGGAATGTGCAGAACTTAAGGTGTGATTGGCCTGGGACGCCCCGCCCAGCAATTCCGCGTAGTCTTCGACACAGGCGAGGCTTGCACCAGTCACCAGCAACGCTTATTTTGGCATGGGTTTCCAAGACTGACTGCTTTGATATTCTGCCTAGACAAGCTCAATGTGCATCCTATGTTGTTCTGCGAGGCTCTGCAAACCTTTGGGTGCCTTCAGAAGAGTGTGTGAATTGTGACTCTATGAAGTGTGAAGCCCAGACCGTGTGGGAATCGATAAATCTCGTTCAAAGTGGTTTGTCGGTGGTTGCGAGATATTGTGAGAAGAAGTCAACAGCGCCGGCTGCAACTTGAGCCAAATAATGTTGTTGCCTTAGGCCAATCAAAAACTTGTGGTATGAACCATCAAACCTCGCAGTTTGCACTGTTTATTCTGTCAAACAGAACGCCATCCAAAAGAACTATGGCAAAAGAAGCAGCCTGTATCAAATCATCCGTCACGGTGAAGTGACGAATCCTGCTGTCATCCAGCTGGGATGCGATCATATTTGTTGATCTGGGGCTGAGGATTCACAACAAGTTTGATGGTCCCAGCTCTTCCACCTACGAACACTCCAGGTTCGCTGTTGAGATCCTCGGTTGCAACTGGCAATGCCAAAGCTAGGATGCCTTTTGACGATGTTATATTGAAGAGGTTTTTCTTCTGGAGCAGAGATCTATAGATTTTTCGATGTTGCTCTTCTGAGGTTGGCTTATGCCACAGGCGGGGGATTCATGCTGCCTTGTCAGCTTTTTGACCGTCGCCTTCCAGGGCATTGCGGGCATTGCTTGGTGTTCAGGTCACTTTTTCTACTCAACTGTACCAACGCCTTGGGGTGCTTCAGATTTTGTCAGCCGTGGCATTGCATCTATGAATCTACGAACTGTGAGCTGAATGTGCAAGATGAATCACTTCATGTCACTCTCGTTTTCTTTTTTTTTTTAAATATGCAAGCTGCCGTTTCTTTTGGTTGTTTCATTTGGTTTTCGTTTCTTTTGGTGTTGACCTTGAACCAGCAGAGAGATCCCCCCGAAAGAACAGTTGAGCTCCCTTGGCTTACCAAACTTAGTCTATCCCTTCGCCGTCAGGTTCGTGCAAAGGCTTCCTTGCACGGGATCGCCTGAACTTTGGGAATGCCACGGTGGAGAAAGTGCCCTTTGTTGAGGCGCGCGGCCTTGGCTGTGTGCTGCCAATGTGGATTGCTCCGGCTTGGACGTAGATGACCAAAGGAATATCTTCTTGAAAACACATGTTTCTTGATCCGATGATTGAACCATCCAGAGATTTGTCAAGTACTGGACCTTTCTGCAAGGTTCCATTCTGTTTTGTGGATGTTTACATTTCGGACCCTGGCAAGATTTGGTTTTCGAAGCACACTCAACTCAACGACACGGTCCGTCCCACCGCTCGGAACGGAGGTCTTTCAGGTCTCGGCCCCCTTCCCGGCCTCGGACTTCGATGGGATTTTTGGTTTGGGCTTTGCAGGGCTTGCCACGCCACCAGGACACCTCGGTTTTTGGTTTGCAGTGCTGTGGGAACATGGTGGAGGAAGAATAGAATTTGAAGAAAGACGCTAATCAAGTCGAGGAGGTTCAGGCGTAGCTGTACAATTTGATTTTGTGTATTTGGTCGCACAGCACAGAGCCTAAGGGGACACAAGGCCCATCAAATAGACATGATACAAACACGTTGATATGCGTTGATAACCTCAAGAGTCGAACGGAAAGCATTGAGATCGACCTCCTTCCATGCTCCCATCGCCCCTGCCTTCGGGTCACAGGACTGGTCACTCCCCTGGACTTGATGCTCAAGACCTACAGTGGCCGGCTCCGTGAGAAGGCCCCGTCCGACATCCGAACAGCGCCGATGGAGATGGAACTGGGTCTGTACCTTTGGGACCTACATGGGCTATACTGTGCTTCTCTTGGTCAAGTCTCATTTCCCTGTATGAGAAGGACGGCAAAGTGTTTCAAGGAAGCATGAGTATCCATGAGTGAACAGTCATACTGAAAGAAACTTGCTTCAAAGAAACTTGCTTCGTCATGGATTGTGCCCAGGGTTTCTTCAGCGAGGATTGCTTGGATATGCTTTATGGCAAAAAGAGTGGCTTTCATTCAAGTTGGTGTTTGTGATTCTCATGGAACATAAAATGTATGCTGAACAAGAGTTGGAGCAGCCGATCAACTGCAATTTTGTCAGTCGAATAATTCCTTTCGGAAAAGACCGTGGCGGAACCGAAACGTGGAGGTCTTCTCTTTCCTCATGAGCAATGACCCTTCGGTGCCTGGGGAGCTGCGCTTCGGACAAGTGCCCATGGAACGCTACTCCGAGGGGTTGAGGTCAGCGAAGAGCGGCGGACACGGTTCTCAAAGCATGATGGATGATGTATATTCCCATCTAGAATATACATCTAGAATATAGATGGGAATGATGGGAGTGATGTTTGGCCAGGTAGAATACTGGTCGCAACTATGAGATCTATATGACTATCACTTCCTTTGATCTTCTCTATCTTTGATTTCCGATCCTCTTCCCTTATGCTTCGTCCACCACACCTTGGTGTCCGCCCGTCTATGGTCAGATGGATCGATGTCCTGAAGGATGTAGATGCAGCAGGCGCCTGGTTTGTGCTTGGCCAGTGGAAGAAGTTGGCTAAAGCACAGAGACATTTTTGCCCAGCAAATCCTTGTGTTGCATGTGGTTCGACTTCACTTCTTGACTTGAAAGAATCCACTTTCAGCTGGGAGGCCAACCTGCCTACCGCTTTTGGGCTGTATCAATGGACACGGTGTCATTCGCTGGCAAAAAGCTCACTGGCCGTGTAGGCGGCTTGCTGCTCGTTGCTTTATCCGGGTCACATGCAACTCCACCTTGAACACATGGAGCCTTTTCAGTACATATATTTTTATTGGTTTCTATCCAAACGGGTGTGCGATATAATTCACAAGGTTCTTGCACGACTATATTGGACATAGCAGTTTCGAATCCACGTTTCCTAATTGATTGTTGATGGCAGGGCTTTCCACACCTAGCTTTTTTTCCAAGCAAGTATATTCAACTTCTGGGTAAAGAGACGGTATGTTTTGCCCAAGACTTCCATTGGCGGCACCTTGGCACCAGGTCTCCTAGACTCGGGTGCCAGTTGCTTGGTGCTTCCCGAGAAGGATGCCAGCCTTTTCTACGACGCGGTGCGAGAGGCGAGGGCCCGGTGCGGATGTCTTGTTGCCATGGGAGAGCGGTTGCTGAGCTTCTTTTTGGTAGTTGGAGTCCGCTGGAGTAGCTGTTGACTTCATTCTGGTGTAAAGATGAGTGCCACTTCCAGGATGACCAGCACTGAACTGGTCGCGAAGGATGCCCAGCGCAGTTATGAACACCCGTGGGTCTCGTTACAGCGCAGGCACAGCAGCATGATGCCCGCTGTAGCGCCTTGCCGAAGTTGACGCTCACGATTGGAGGGCAGGACGAAATGAGTGGAGAGCGGAGCGCGGTGGCGGAGTGCGTCGACGTGGTGTGATGCCCAAGTTGAGCCAATTGGATCAGTGGGATATGATGGGATAGGTCATGTATTGATAGGTTAAGGATCTTGTACAGACCTGGTTTTGACATGGTGAGGATTCTGGGGCTGGAATTTCTGGCTGCTGGGTGCATCGTCAAGTAAAAATAGCAGAGACGTTCGTACAAGTGATTTTGCGCAGGGCTAAGGGGGATAGAGATTGGAATTTAGCGACAGATGTCCAAAGGCGACTTTTTGTTTTTATTAGGGTAAACGGTACGGCTGAAAGGGCGCTGAAAGACCCTGGGGTCTCCTTGCATCACCATGTGTGGTAGTCCCAGAGGTTGGAAGCTTCTGTAGCTTGGGGTTATTGCTTGCATAAAATCATTTGCTCCTCACTATTGGCTTCTTGATGTGGTTGCCAGGTGTAACTCACATTCTGGATCATCTTGAATCACGTTGCAACTTGTGCTATGCCAGGACTATGTTCTGACAGGGGACGACTACGGCTTTCAACAGTTGGGTGGCTGCCAGCTGTGTGTTCAGGCCAGAGAAGACCGGAGACTTGGCAAAAAGTGCACTCGTTTGAGCTGAGTTCTGCAAAAGTCACAGTTGGCTTGTTTGGGTTCTCCACCTCTTCTTGTGCGCGATCAAACACGGGAGTTCTTTTTTGGAGCTCATTCTTTTCGACCAAACGCAATTATCCAATGGACCAGTTGCCTGCACCAGAGGTTGAAGCTGTTTGTTGAGACAGGATGAACACCTGTTGTGCTTTGCCCTTCCCACAATCCAATGTTCTTTGGAGGAATTCATGGGAGTTGACCAAGGACCTGGATCATTGGGGATGTCTTTCATCGTCACTTGGCTAGCTAATAGTAATGCCGAATAATGCCAACGGACTTCACGCAAGCATATGTTTGGCTTGGTTTTGCATCCCAAACAGCTGAGAGTACTGTCTGCTTCGCATCATTGCTTGGCGCCGAGAAAATTGCCTCAAGAGAAGCTTCCAAAAGAGTTCCTTTTAGCGGCTCAGTCACTTCGGCCTTGCCCACGGGCCCAAGTCTTCAAGAACGAGTGACATCGGGCAAACATTTCGTTCAAGAAGTATGAAGTTAGAGGACGTTACTCGTACCTGCGCAGAGGCAAGTTTCCGGTGACCTATGACTTCGGTGCGCACAGGATTCCGATTGTTTAACTGGGAAACATAGGACAAAGGGGGCAAAGAGGACTGATGTGGACTTGTGATATTCAACGCATTCACATTGAATCAAAGCATTGTCTTCTCAGTGTCGGTTCAGCGTCCTTTTTGGATGTTTTTCCCTATTGCTCTTGGGCCCTGAAGTGGACCATCAGATCTTTCCCGTTCCCTTTCTGCCTGCCTCATCTGCCGTGGAGGATAGGTCTTCCTCTAGGCCGCCACCATTGGACTTACACGAGCTTGGTGGCTGGGCATCGGGAGTTGGAGGGCCGGTGGATGTGGTAGCTATGTGACAATCCTGAAATCCCCATTACAGTGGACGTGTCTGTGACGGCAACATAGTGAGTTGTGCGGGACAAGGGTTCGCACCCAGCTCTTTTTCTGGGAGATCCGAGGTCCTCAGTTTTATGGCGGTGGCCTTGTGTGTGCCGCTGCTTGTCACCTTTGGAAAGGTTTACCACAGGCGCTGATTGGGAACGATCCGGAAGACCGGCTGAAGACGGGGAAGACAGCAGGAGCCACTGAGAAATAGTGAACAGTGTCAAGAAGTGTCTTGACATCAATAGAAACGTGCTTGCATAGATTTTAGGGTGGATAACAAGAGGCAATCTCTCATGATAAATCCATTGAGGTAGGAAGAGCTGGTTTCAGACACAAGCAACAAATCTGATCACCAAAGAGGCTTACAACGCAAGCGGCTTGCAATACTGGGGTGTCAGCGGCGGAATACTTTAAAAACTTGGGTGTTCGCAGACATTGCCCAGTCTTGGACCCCACCTTTTCACAACAGTTGAGTGAGACCTAGATTATCTTCCTGGATGGACCAGCGTAAACCCTTGGTGGGATGCGGACCCTGTGAAGACAATTTTCCATTGTGCCGGCGCCTCGGGTTCCAAATCTGCGCCGCACCGATACACCGATACACTGACCAGAAGACTTTGGCAAAGTTTTGCTGACCCATTCTTATTGTTGGAACCTTATGATTGGAAAGAAGGAGTCCACCTGCCAAGCTCAGATCTGGTTGAGGCGCTACGCACGACGTTTGACAACCAGAGGGACAGAGGTCGTGGATGGACATGTGGAAGACGAGATGACCAATAGTTGCAGCACACTTCCACCTGGCAACAACAATAGCTCCAAGTTGTTTATATAATTATACTCTCAAAAACTATTTGCTGCCCCACCAAGTTTGACTTTCAGCTTTGTCCGGCAGTACTTTGCTGACTTTTTCCACGTTCAGCTTATTGAAAGAGTAGCTTCTTCGCGGTGAGCTCGCCTACTTTCTCAGTGTCAATCACCAAGAACAAGCATCGCACTGGAGTTTATATTTTAGACGTTTCTCGTGTCTTCTTCCCGAACATGCAACGATCGTGGCTTTTGTAGGCTCCTGCAACGCGAGACCCTGCTTGCGAACTCTCACACAGGCACTGTTGGGTTGATCCTGTAGTGACACTTCCCATGAACCTATGGAGGGTTTGGAAGGCAACGGATGCCTTTGCCCTGTAGTTTTCAGCTCCAACACTCTTTTGAGAATTGAAGACTATAGAAGAGTTGCCGCGGTGCTTTACGTAGAGTGGGTAAACAACAGTGTGACATAGCTACCAAATCTTCCTTGAAAGGTATGATCAGGTTTAGTCATTTTGAGATTCTTCAGGAGAGGAGAACACTCCATGCACACCAGAGCCCAGCTAATTGCTTTTTAGGCAAAGTGGGTGCCCTCCTTCTGCCTTCCGGCAGATGCTTCTCTTTGGTCAACCTTGTTACATTGCGAGCCTTTGATCAACATCAGCTGAGCCTTCTCGCCGCTGAGTCACCGCTCCGGCGAGCGTCTGAGATGATCTGAGATGACCCAGGTGAGGCGTCGTGAATCCGTCGGGGCGTGGAACAGGGCCCCGGCGCTTAGATTCGAGTGTCTTGAAAGGTAGGTGCTCAACAGTTTAGATCACTTGTTTGGGGCTGCCCTCAGCCGTCGGGCTGAGGATGAAGCTCAGCTTTGGGTCAGTGAGAATTCAGGAGAGACTTTCCAGGGACTCTACTTTTGCGTCTTGGAACACAATGGAAGTAGGGTGGAGGACTGATTCTTTGTGGCCCGTGGCAAACCAAGCGTGGCAAACCGTAGCTCCTGGCCTTACTACTAGGAACAAGCAGCTACTAACAGCTACTAGTAACAAAGGGCATCGCTACTAGGAGCAAGGACGCTAGGCCGAAAGAACTGACTCAATGGCTAGAAAACTTGTTCTAGTAACGAACGGTGCCCGGGAAATATCGGGTCAACACGAGCAGGTACGCAGTTGGATGTCTCCAACTGTATGTAACTGATGCGTGCCTTTGTTTGCACCGGTCTCCCCAGCACTTCTGGTGCCCCCTGCAAAGCTAATTCAAATCAAAAGTGGGCCGGCTCCCTTTGATTCCAAGGGGTACACGCACAGTTGGTCCAGACTATTGACCCATACCCATATGACCGGACCTTCTCCTGGGAACATGCATAGATATGCATATTTCTTGTGGAATGCATGTCAGAACTGCATCACTTTGCTTTTGCAGGTGAAGAGCTGTGAAGTTGACCCTTCAGTCGCCCCTTCGGTGCTGGGCACCGGTGCAGAATTGTTGCCAAGGAATGAAAGGATCCCAACAGTTCTGGATATGATGTCAATGATTCACAGAAGCTCCCCCAATGGAAGGTTCACCAGGTCTTTAAGGTGTGAGGTACACTTTTGAGGCGCGATTGAGGGAATCATGCGGGGGACGGGGGATAAAGAAGAAACGAACAAGAGGGAAGACACATTTCAATAAAAAGAAAAAGACAAAGAGAAGGACAATCTCTATGTATATAGTGAATTCGGAAGCTGGGGTTCCGTGTTTGGCTCGGATTAGTTATATAGCGGTAGTTTTGTGATGGTGCACACATTGCATAAATTACTTAAGTACGACTAACCTGTTATCGACTGGAGCATTTCTTGGCTCGGATAGACAATATGATATTTATCCATCCTGACTTGACATTATTCTTCTTTTGCTGAGGGTCTACAAAACTCAGTGAACCCTTGACAGGTGATTTGCTTGGAGAGTTTGTGTCTATTTTCAGCTGAGAGGCTCAATTTTGGTGAGACACTGAGGGGAAATTCCGTGGTTTGCTAAGCCAACAACAAGAATCTCCCCAAGTGTATTCGGTATGAGGTCAGACTCCTCAAAGTCCCTTGGCAGCAATGTTTCTAGTTAGGTGGCATTGAGAAGGGCGAAGAGACGACGTAGGAACGGCAAACCCTCGCACATTCAGAGATTGATTACATTGAGGAAAATGCAAATCCGAGGAAGATACGTCTTAGAAGCTAAGTTTCTGGGGATATTCTTGCAGATTTCGCAGCCATTGGATAGACTGTAGCCGTGGTACTTGGAAGGTATCAAGCCAAACCAGGATGTGGGCGCGCGCCCATTTTGTGCTTTTCATTCAACATAGGAGATGGTAAATAACAAAGACAACTCTGTTGAACTCTGTTGCATAGATTTGGGCAAAGGATTCCACGCGTGTTGGCTTGTATTTTGTTACTGTGGTTTCAGAGTAGATGGCACAATCCCCAAAAGGTGGTTGATATGGACCCCCATATAAAAGACATCTTTGGGTTTGTGCCATCTATTCTGAAACCACTGTATGTAGTCTGGCTGTCATTCGTTCACGCTCTCGCTCAAGTGATTTTGTCATTGCACCTTTGCTTTGGTGGTTGATCCGAGTTTATCGCTGTAGAGATGTTGCCCTTCTCAGGAGGAAAGGTCCTTGGAGGTAAAATACCTCATTTGTACAGAGAATTGGTGTCTCAACCCCATCTTAGTTGGATTTCGATTGCATGGAGCCGCACATTTTTCATGCTGCCCTCTCATCAGCCTCTCCCTGGTAAACTGAATGGAGCGAGCATTGCAATCAAACTGGGACAGTTGAGACCAGGCTCTGCACACGTTCCGAGCTTTGAGATGTAGATTTTATGGCTTCGAAGCTCCGAAGGATCCAAAAGTATTGCTTGGCACGCGGCGAGAGTGCTATTTGTGTGGGGATGGACTAAAGATGAGCAGGACAGGGGTCCCTGAGATTTGTTTGGTTAAATCTGACGATGATTGTAGTTTTCCAGGTTTTGCTGCAGGAGACTTCGGATGTTCTTCTGAGAGAAATTAGGGATCCACAACCCAAGCCGGTCGCCAAGACAGTAGGTGAATCGCACGGTAGCCATGTGGCGCCTTTGCTCGTTTGCTTGTACTTGAGTGTTTAACAGGAAACATTAACATCCAGTTTGCAAGCCTCTAAACTACAGCTGTTTGACTGGGTCGCCGACACTGGCTACAAGCAGGTTGATTGTATGTATAATGAAAGGATGTTGCACAAGTTTTTTAGACTAGGCTAGCAACGCACTGACACCTCAGGGTCACACTGACACATCCCAGAATGACAGAGGGGTTTTGAAGCAGATCTGCTCTTTAAAAGGTCGGTGTTTAGGAATCCATCGCACCCAAAGGAGCCACATACATGAAACACACACTTCGACAATTGTATTCAGTTACACTCAGTTCCCAGGTCGAAAATGGTGATGGAACGGAAAGGTGGAAAGTCCGCAAAAGTGTAGGTGTTTTAACAAAATGGTTTGTATACTTGACTGCAGAAAGTACACAGCGGCAAAGCGGCTGCAAATCAGCTCTGTGGGAAACCTGTTTATGGGAGGAGGACATGCAACCACCATGAAACAAACAAGGCGGATTGGACAGCTTGCTCAAAAGTTTTCCAGCAGGTACACAGACTGGCGTCCCAATCTGCTTCACGGAATGTCCACAGCTGTCTTCGTTGGCAGCAGAACTGTGGATTCCCTGCTGCCCCCTGCCGGTGAAACTGTGGGTAGAAAGTGGGGGTTGAAGTGGCGGTAGGAAACCCTTGGCCCAGGGGTTGACACACACAGATTGCCGTCATCGGCGCTGTTTTCAAAAGCGGTGGCAGGCGTTGTGTAGAACGTTGAAAGTGGAGCTTTGTACAGAAAGCGCCAGTATTGGCGCTGCGAAAAAACTAATAGCCACCTAAAAAGCCTTAGAAAGACAGACAAAGCAAACAAAATAAAAGCAGACTAAGAGGGCAAGAAAGAAAGATAGGGGTAGTTACGAGGCCCACTTAGTTAAATGAAAGTAGAGCGCGAGCGGGACATTTGTCTTAAACCGCCCGGGTAGCTAGCAATAGGCTAGGAGAAACAGAAGGAAAGGCACCAACACACAAGTGTGTTGAGTGCGATTTCCTTCTGTTTCCCGAGTAGCGGGTGGGGTAGCAAAGGGCCCAGGGGTAGGGAGGGGGAAATGCACAGTTAATTTGTCCGGCCTGTGAATACTTAGCAGCACATGCACATGTGAATACTTAGCCGTCAAACAACTCAGTGCAGAAAAATGCAAACGCTGCACCACTGTCAGTTCCCGTGGTAAGGCCCGGCGGCCTTTGTGGCAGTTAACTCAGTGGTTGTGTCGGTGACTTCCAGTGGAGTTCCTGTGAAAAGTGGTGAGGTCAGTTAGTGCTTGCACGATGAGACAGCGCCCCAATGACGGGGATCACACTCAGCACCCGAGTGGGACGGCTGAGCGAAACACACTTCGACAATTGTATTCAGTTACACTCAGTTCCCAGGTCGAAAATGGTGATGGAACGGAAAGGTGGAAAGTCCGCAAAAGTGTAGGTGTTTTAACAAAATGGTTTGTATACTTGACTGCGGAAAGTGCACAGCGGCAAAGCGGCTGCAAATCAGCTCTGTGGGAAACCTGTTTATGGGAGGAGGACATGCAACCACCATGAAACAAACAAGGCGGATTGGACAGCTTGCTCAAAAGTTTTCCAGCAGGTACACAGATTGGCGTCCCAATCTGCTTCACGGAATGTCCACAGCTGTCTTCGTTGGCAGCAGAACTGTGGATTCCCTGCTGCCCCCTGCCGGTGAAACTGTGGGTAGAAAGTGGGGGTTGAAGTGGCGGTAGGAAACCCTTGGCCCAGGGGTTGACACACACACACACAGCGACACGGCGGTGTGTAGAGAGGTCTAGACTCACCAAGTTGACCCAAAGAGGCAAGACATTTTCGAACACACCATACAACAACAGCATTGAACCTGAATCCGTTGCCCGAAACAATCGGCACACACATCCTGAGGTGCAGTTGGACCCGCTGTGGGCACTGTGGCTTAAAGTCCCGGCTGCCATCGTCGGACAGCCCAGAGAGTGGAGGGACTTGGTCTGGTGCAGAGCATCAGGATTTGGAGATTGATCGCAGGGGGCTCTTGGTTGCTTATACCCTTGTAGTGGGTCGATCCATAAGATATTCGGGACATCAGTAAAACACTGTCATGCTCCAAAGCAAAAGGTTTTGGGGGGTATGCAACTTGCTGCTGCTTGCCTGGTTGGTTGTTCAGCTCGGCTTTGATCTGGTCACCAAAACCATGGAGCACTCACCAATACCAGGCTAGATTATGATTGAGACGAACCATATCATCTAACAAGCTGTTGGGAAGATGTGAACATCGAATCGGTGGCATTGTTTCAGCTGCAGTCCTCTAAAGGTTTCAGATCGAAGGCAGGAGTTTCCATGAACCTAGAATGAATGCCATGAGGCTCTTACTTTCCCCTTGTATTGTATTTTCATGACTTGCAATGTTGCAGGCTTTGCCAAGATCCGCTCTTCCATGGTGCCGACCTTGGTGATACTTGCAGTTGTTCTGAGAAGAAAGGACGTTCTCGACTTTCACCTCGTTGAGTGCCATGTGCACACTTTCTTCAGATTCAACTGGCCTCGTCTTGCTCTAGAAGAGTCGATTTCCATGAGGGTTTGTATATAGTCGGTTTACAACGGCAGGTTTCAGTACAGTAAACTCCTACATTGATGGCGGTCAGCCAATCTTGCTTGCCCATTGTTTGGTGTGATGACCTAGGCCCCTCGTCGCCGTGCCCTGACATGTTGCGCGCTAATCGGTGAGGGATTCTTTACGCTTCCTGGGAGATTGGCCATTTTGGACAACGAACACTCAATGTGGTACTCGAAACGGCTATCAGCTGTGTGAGGACAGCCAACGGATGCTAACGGTAGATGTGCTGCAAACAGGAGCCACAGCCCAAGACTCTGAATAGATGTGTGTGTACACGACAACTAACTTCGGCTGTGTGCCACGTTTTGGCACGGCTTCGACCAGCTTGCTACATCATTGTCAGGGTTCCCAACTTGTCATCGCCAGTACGGGTCCTGACGGCAAGTGAGTACTACAGGATTTGCACCGCTTCGAGGACTCTATTTTCATTCCTTCCCAAGCTTGGGAGAGGGCGGCTATGACTACAAGAGATCACCCTGGATCAGGGGCATGCTATCACACATGTGCTCAATTGGACAAGGAGCAGATCATGTTGGGGGTGGCAGCTTTTCCATGGGCGTTGAGAACGGCTTTTGGCGTAAAGCAGGCCGCAGTTCTTTTGTCAGTTTGGTGGATCATTTTTGGCCACACTCTTGGAGCAGAAGAAATTGGGTGAAAAGGTATATATATATATATTTGGAAATACTTGGTAGTGTACTTGAAATATCAGAAGAGGTATTTGGGTCAACAGGCACGAGTAGCATTAATACTGCAAGAGCTCTTCCCCCACCCACACTACGTCAAGCAAACAAAAGTTTATGCTTGTTAGCAATGTTCATAAAACGCTGTAGGGTCAGCTGCGGATCGAGTTGCAAAGTCCAATTTTCGGGGGAGTTGTGGGACGGTCAATTATCACACCGTATAATAATGAAAGGCTTCCCGGCATGACAGGTGACCGGGCACCCGTTCCCAAGTCTCCCAGTTCCCAGCTCTCCCAGTGTAGGATTCTAGGGGGTAAGGGTTGTATATAATGAGTTTGAGTTTCAAGAAGCGCAACTTTTGTTTTTCCAGTGTATCCAAAGCCAAAGGTGACCTGCGAAGGCCTATGATTTGTTTGTCTACAAACAGGCATCCTTGAAACTATGAATTTCAAGGACACGGATACCTCATGAGGATTGAGCCCTTTGGACCTTCTTTGTAGCCTGTTGGAGACTGCCAGGTGCCTTTTGAAGCCTGCCGTCGGAGAGAAGGCCTTGGAAGGTGTGGGTTTGATGTGGAAAAAGCCCATGGCCTGTACTCGATAGTTGAAAGCCAAGGAGCACATCTCAAAAGAAACCCAACAAGAAGGGTTCCAACTTAGGCCCTGTATCTACCATGTTTGAAACTTGAACTGCTTGCCAGCCCAATAGCGATGGCTCCAACCTGCTAGCGATGGCCTCCAACCTTAAGAGCGATGACCTCCAACCTAAGAGCGGCGATGGCCTCCAACCTAATAGCGATGGCCTCCAACCTGCCAGCGATGGCCTCCAACCTGAGAGCGATGGCCTCCAACCTACGGGCGATGGCC